TATAAACAGGGGTATGGAGCGGAACGTTCCGGGAACTGAACTTTGAGTCAATTTATGGAACGGGAACCGGAACAGTAGTTATAAATTTCTATAATTAAAAAAATAAAATTTTTAATCAATCTAACAGGTGCACATATTAAGTTCTTTCTATTTTCTTTATAATAATAATCATTAATCATATTTAATTACACAATACTAGCAAAGTAATAAGAATTAATAAATTAAAAAGAGGTGGAACATTTTTATCTAGTTTATTAAATTTATTTAGCTAATTTTTTTTTCTATGAAATGAATGCTCTTAAATTTTAAATGGACAAAAAGGATGATATTCTATCAATTATAAAAAATTTTCGAGCGGTTAAAAAATCCTATCTTATGAATTGGCCCAAATCGTATTAGCAACTCCAGGTCAGGTTTGTTAGTCGAATTTTTACGACTCTGAACTCAAATTGGAGTCGCAAAACTCATTTCAAATTGAGGGGCTCAATGAGGCATATGAGTTAGTTCGATGAGAGGGCTAAAGTTTATTTAGAATTGGCCTGCTATTATATTTACTCCACGATGAAAATATTAAAAATTTTTAACCACTTTGGTTAGGAAATTTAAATATTTTAAAATTCGAAATGACCTATGTGTATTATTTTAAGAATATGGCCATGCTATTATTAATATTACTTAAACCTCGACATTTCGCTGATAGTCCAAACTTTTGTGCCATCTATGAAATAGCTTTCCGGATAAAATTTTGAATTAGCCGTTTTTAAAAATTGGTTCAAATCGAGCCGTTTAACAATAATACCTTTTAATATACAATTATTAAGAATATTAAATATAAAAAAAGGATTTATTTTTTTAAAATAAATTTCAGGTCTGGGTAGGAATTTTTTAAATATATATTTATTTTAATATTTCTAACCAATAATGACATAAAATATTAAGTTTAAAAATATGGCCCGGCCCAGGTATTTAAAAAAAAAATTTAGACTCTGCCCTGGTTTATCAAAAAACGGCCCTGTCCGGGATTGATATATAGTAATAGAAATTATTTTTTAGTCATAATTCAGAAAGTGATTCCAACGCATCTATTGAAATCGATAGGAAAATTTCTAACTCGGCCCGTAAACTTTTGCACGGCCGGATATAATATTTTTTAATTGGGCGCGGCACATCAAAACTTTATGAAAGGTCTGCCTAGGTCAGTTTAGCATTTTTTTATTCAGTTTTCTGCCATCACAATTTTTATTAATATCTTTAAAATTATTTTTTCAGATAAAAAATTATATTTTTAATTACCCCTTTCTTCTTTTTTTCCAAAAATTAGATTATTTTATTACTATGGAAATTTAATAATTAAATAATAAATGGTGTCTTTTCATCATCCCCCATTGTAAAAATTTTAAAAGAAAATAGAAGATTATTTTTAATTGCATTAAAAAAGTTTGATTTTGTAGACTCTGATTTAAATCTTTATTCCAACTCGCAGGCTTATGATTTTGGCGAGGTAAATTTCTATTTATTGATTAAATATACTACATTGAAATGCTATTAATTTTTTTTAAATGTCTGTACGCAAATCTGGTGAAACAACTTTTCGATTAGATAGTTGTTAAATAAGTCAATAAAGTCGATTTAAAATTTTATTTTATTTAACACATTTCGGCGAAATTATTTTTAGTTTATATTAACGTTTTATTTTATCGTATTAACATTATTTTAAAATCAATTTATTATTGATATCAAGTTAAATTCAATTTTAAACAAACATTTTCTTTTATATAATTGATTATTTCATGATTTATTTATTGTTTAAAAAAGATATAAATGAAAATGTTCGATTAAAATTCAATAAAATTGAATTTAACAATTGAATTTAAAATAATGTTAATACGATAAAATACGTGATACGTGATAAAAGCGTTTTCGCCCTCTGGTTGTGGGTACAACAGAGCTACGCTAGGTTTTCCTCAAAATCCATCAAACTGGATAGTTAATTAGGGGAATAAAAATGAGGAGCCCTTCACACGTTTGTGGGCAAGCCGCACGTACTTGTAGGCGCAACATTTCGAAAAAAGTTGCTTAAACCTCTATAAGCTTAGTAAAAAGGAGTGGGGCAAAAAAAGAGCATATACCCGATAACTACACTATAATTTAATTACTTTAAAGGTGGGTGATGGCTGATTTTAAGTTTAAATTCTTTAGTGTAAGTTTTGATGATTACTATCACTATTGAGATTTAATGTTCAGAGAATCTGTAAATAAATATGATTTAAATAAAAAAATTTGCCTGAACAGTAGATAGTGTTATTTTTTTATTAATGATTCAACCCATACAATATAGTAATCATAGTCTATGTTCAATTTAATGTAACCATTTCAGCTTCAAAGGGAATTATGTGGAATAAAAATATTTAATATAAAAATGGATGATCTTTTGCTCCTTATTCTATATATCTAATTGTGTAAACTTATAAATTGCAAAAGGATATAGATATATACATTCAAGAGTGGAATGAAATGTTCAATAACCTAATTGTGTGATCTTTTGGTTCTTATATTTACAAGAAAAGGAATACAATATATCTAATTGTGTGACCCTTCTCTTAACTTTGGATCTGATATACTCAACAAATTAAAATAGATCAGATGTAACCATTCCAGTTTAGAAGGTATATGTGTAAGTAAACTTATTATTGCAAAAGGAAGTGTAGAATATTATAATAAATCTAATTGTATGGTTATTTTATACTTACTGAGTGGAATAAAAATATTCAATATAAAATTGCATGTCTTTTAATCCTTATATAGAATAAAGATATTCTATATATAATCAAGAGTGGAATGAAATGTTCAATAACAAAATTATGTGGTCTTTTAGATCTGTCTGATGTACACAATAAATTTAAAATAGAATCAAATGTAACCATTCCAGTTTAAAGTTAATAATTTCGCCGAAAGGTGTTAAATAAAATTTTAAATCAACTTTATTGACTATTTAACGAAGGTCGTGAGTTCGAGACTAGTCTTGGCCACCATGAAGAATTGTCATAAAATAACATCTTAATTCTTTATATAGTTAGATAAATCATGCAGAATTATGATACAACTTTTTTATTATTATGAATTACATTTTCTTTTTTTAAAAAAATGTTCCTTTTATATCTTTTTTAAACAATAAATATGAAATAACCAATTATATAAAATGAAAATGTTCGTTTAAAATTGAATTTAACTTGATAACAAAAAATATCAATAATAAATTGATTTTAAAATAATGTTAATACGATAAAATAAAACGTTAATATAAACTAAAAATAATTTCGCCAAAAGGTGTAAAATAAAATTTTAAATAACTTTATTGACTTATAAGTCCTTCAATTACTAAATCCAACTTTACAGATATGCCAAAAATACTTGGCGAAAATACAAACGTTACGATGTACATTATAAGTTAGTACTGCAACAAGTATAATATGCCTCAACAGATTTTTAATTTAAAAAACCACACGAAAAAGTGTATCCCAACATATTAGAAATGAAAATCCAAAGAAAACTGATAAATATTGAAAATGCTATTTCAATAAGCTAATTCTTAGATATTTCATAAATAACATCGATATTCAAGTGAATCCTTTGGAGATATATTTAAATGTTAACAAAAACATTAAGATTTGGTGTCAACAGACATCTTGTAAACACTTATCTAATATTTATAATTTGGTTAAAGAACAAATTATCTTAAATGTGAAAAGCCAATTGTCGATTACCACCGAATCTGCATTGGGTTAAATTTATCATCTTACCTCACAATAACTCTTCATTACATAGATAACTGGGTCATAAGTTTTTATTGGATCTGATTGAATTCCTTTAATGAAATTTTAATAACTTATATATTAGTCTAACATAAATGAAAGGGTTAAATAAAAATTATTTGAATTCATGTTTAATATAGCCTAATAAGAAACCATTTTAAATATTAAACAAGATTAATTTGGGCTTTAAAATACATAATTTGGAGTAACACCCAGCACGTGATGAACTAAAAATGTCATTTAAGCCTTATTACTCATTAGAAATAGGCAAAGCCTTATTAGAATCAGCTAACCTAATTTAGGTTTAGCCTAAAATACGGCTAAAACAAAATAGTCACCCACTAATTGTTTTAATAGAAATAATTTTTATAATATATAAATTTAAGGGTAGTATTTTATCATATACAATGTTGACAGATTGCAAAGCTTTTTAACCAATGTCTAATTATTTTAAGCCAATTTTCAGGCTTAGCATAATTAGGTTTAATTGATTTTGAGTATGCTAAAATTAGTAAATTATGCAACACTTCAGCAACAACAAAATTTGATATAAGTGTTATCAGTATGAAATATGAAGAGAAGCAAAAAGTTTCCATCTTGATTGCTTTTAAAAACTATTAAGTTTCTAGACATGGTGTTGCATGAATGCTAAAGTCCTAGAATGTATTTTCTTTATAAACAATACCATAATTATTTTAAATAATAATATCCCCAATAAATACTAATCCCATCAATTTATTTATTAGATTGGCCACCATTTTCTTTATATCCCATTCTTATTGAAACATTTGCAATGTAATCCAACAAGAGCTATGAAAGATATTTGGAGAATAAATTTAAGTTTATATGAAAATTGATATATCATAAATTCAATGCTAAAGAATAGACATATAAAAGCAAATGGAAATTTAACAAAAATTTTAAATACTTAGCAAATAATTAATGTTAATTTGTTTATTATGTGTTAATAAAATTTTTAAAATAGAATTTTAGTGCTATTAATTATATTAAAATTTATGAGCTTAAAAATAAAGTTTAGTGAATATCATTACAAAAAAGTAAGTAGAAATTATTATAAACAATCTCATTAGTGTCAAGTGTCAGTAAACAAAAGTTTTCAGATAATGTATTTTACCATATAAAATGTGCCAAACAATTTCTGTAAAAATCTCTATATATAGATTAGTCTAAATCGAAAATATTTATTGTTAGTATTATAGGTTTAATTAAGTTTATTTAAGTTTCTTCTTAGGCCTCAAATTGCTGCAATGACCACATTTTGTTTTCCTGCAATTAGTTGCTCTGGGTGGAAGCCTGGCATAACACCTAATTAATATATTTAAAAGATAAATAAAGTTAATTAAATACTTCCTGCATATCATTTTGTCGCAATTATATTTTTGAGCCAGCATTCTTAAACTTGGTTCAATAATACCACCTCTTAAACGCAGTACCAGATGCAAAGTTGATTCTAAAATTAATACTAGAAAAACTTGGTGTATTTTAATTAACCTTTTTGTATGTTATAATCAGATAAAGTTCGCCCATCTTCTAACTGTTTACCAGCAAAAATTAAACGTTGTTGATCAGGTGGGATTCCTTTTATATATATATAAATAATTAATAAATCATAAATTACCTTCTTTATCTTGAATTTTAGCCTTGATATTTTCTATACTATCAGACGGCTCAACCTCTAACGTTATGGTTTTTCCTGTTAAAGTTTTTACAAATATTTGCATTTTCCTTTTCAGATGGGAGGAAAAGAAATACTATAGCACAAGAAAAATATAAAAATATTTATACAAAATTCTTGGCTCACGATTTTTCTATACGATAGTATAAATATATTATACAATAAAAACCCACTATTGTAAATCTATGATTTATTAAAATCAAATTGGGATGTCTCCGTTTCCCAAGATATATGGAATTATCCTTAATTATAGAAGATTTCATAATATATATATTTTTTTCCAAAAAATTTTCCTACATTTATGCGCTTTACTCAAATTACGCCGAAACTCGCGACTCTCGAGTTAGAGACTTGTCTTGGCCTCCATAATGTTTTTGGGTGTTAGAGTATGTTTTTCATCTTCGAGTTAGAATTGATTTATCAAGCATATTTCTTTAAATTTTTATAGTATATTTTTTTTATTTAGGTTTATCAAAAACTATGCTACAATCTTAAAAATGTGTTTATTTGTATCAAATATTAATATTACAACATAAAATAGAAATTCGTAGGTTGCGAAATATAAAAGAAATAATTAAAAAAAGTAATTTTAGGTTATGCTGATATATATAAAAGGATGAAAATAATAAAAGTTAATTTAAGGAAAAATAACAGTTTACTTTAATTACGCCGTTAGATAAAATATGTTAAAAAAATATTAATATATAGCCAAAAAATAAATAAATCTATATAATCAAAAATGCTTAAACATTTAAGTTGTTCTTGTCTATTTGCCTTCAAAAATGAAAGGAATAATTAAGTATTCGTATTTGATTCTTAAATTTAAAATCAAGTAATTTTGTATTTGTCTTTGGGCTAATCGAATAAATGTATTTTTTATATTCGCAGCATTCGCAGGAATCAATAATTGTACTATTTGTATTCGTAATAGGAAACGATTAATGCATTATTCGTATTCTTAATACAGTAAATGATTCGATTTTTTAAAAAGTAACTTTGGATATTTATATATTTGTTTTGTTATAAATGGATATTATGGAAGTATTGTCATTCTCAGACTATCTGTTATTATATCAGTCTAATTATTTGTCTTTTTTTAAATTTATAATATTATTTAATAATAACTTAAATTTTGTAATTAATAACACTTTTGTTTTTATTACTTATTTTATATTGAGATTACGGCGTAACCTGAAATTTTATTATTCAATAAATCATATAATTTTGTTATATAAAATAAAGTATTTTGGAAATAATATAATTAAACAATTTTGGATAGAGTGCTTATAGAAATATAAAGGACCGTAGTCAAGAATTTTTAACAGAGGGGGGGGGGGGGGAATATTTTTTGAAATAAAACAAATAGCTAGGAACTTAGTTTCTGCTTGCTATTTTTATTTTCTTAACATAAATGAATTATAAGCTAAATTCTGTATTATTTATTTTCCATAAGCCATTTATACTAATTCATGTTTACGTCGATTTTTTATAGATTCTCTAGTGCTCGATAGAACATTCTTTAGTGTAGAGAATGAGCCTCACAAAAAGCCGTTATTACATGATTGATGGCTGTGGAGTAGCATGTATACAATTCTTTAAATGCAAGATGATAATTTTTTAATACATATTATTTAAGTTATTTTCAAAATTATCTTTCTTTAATACTGCAGCTAATAATCCTTTTGCTATATTTCATTTCATTTTGTTTAAGTTTGATAATGATTCTAATGGAGTCATTTTTTCTGATATAAAATAATTAGGGTCGGGGGGGGGGGCAATGTATTAAAACATGATATAAAATTATAATCATCTGTGTAAATCTATCCAAAAATTATCTTCAAAAATTTTATAAAAGATTTTTTAAAGAACTCCAATTGAAGTCCTTTTCACAATCAAATTGCAATTTGGTATCGACTAAGAAAATTTTGATTTATAGGGGTATTATATACCCATGGGGGGAGATTTAATTTTGAAGATTCTTAGCCTTAATTCTTCTCAGAAAGAATTATCCCTTCTTTTATTTTTTAATATATTAATTGTGGATTTAACAATTCTTGGCATCAGTTATATTACTACTGACTCTAGATACTTATTTAGTGGATCTATTGTTATAAATTAAAATGGCCAATATAATGTAATATATATTTACGCATTGAGGTAAAAGACCAGAGGCTTCTACTGAATCATGAGTGGAAACCTTTGAGTAAGAATTCTATTAGAAAAATAAATACCTCACCAATAGCCTTAAAATTCTTATCAATAATACGAGATGTTTCTAAATAACCGGTCCACCTCTAGAGGTCTCAGTGTTGCTTGGGATACGTTAAAGATCCATTAATTATGCAATGTATTAGATAAATTATATCAATTTTTAACCACAAGATGCAACTTGTGTTTGTATCAATGTAAATAAAGCACATTTTTACTAATTTTTTTTGAGGCAGGGATACTCCTCTATTTTGGCCAGATATGATATTTGCACATCATAACCTGGCTTATTATATGATAACTTAATATTTAATTCATTAAGTTGCTTTAAAATAAAATTAGTAATGCTTTCGTAGAAAGACATTGTAAATTAATGATTCCTATTAAATTTTCTTGGATATCTCTATAAAAAATATATTTCTGCTGTTTTTATAACTTGTTTATTAATTTGTATAAATTAAATAATATTTTTTTAAAATTTTATTGCATTTTTATTTAGATTTAATAGATAATGGTGGATTAAAATTTAATAACTAAATATTTCTTTTAAATTTGGGTTCCAAAAATTAGAAATGAAAGGTCGAGCCCATATACCATCAGGATAGTGTTTTTATATATTTTTCAATAACTTTAGAAAATTTTAAACTTTTAATTCTATATAATTTTATTTTGTAATTTTTTATTGCTTTAATTTTATGATTTTACTTTCAATTGAAGTAGTGAAGCAGAGGACAGTTAGATTTTATTTAATTTTTATTTTATTTCAAAATGTTATTTTAAGTAATAATTTTCAATATTTGGTTATAAGATAATTGAATAAGGTAGGTAAATTTTAGAAAAAAAAGTTAAAAAGCGAAGGTTAGGTTAAAAAAAAATAATTCTAATTCAATATGAATAACAAATTTAAAAAAAGGTATATTTAACAGTGTTATATGATATACTCTGGCTATGAATGGCTTGATTCCTACCCCAGTATCTTAAATAATAATACACTAGCAACAAATGTATTCAAATCACAGACTGTTTTGGATGCCATGCGCTCAATTGTAAATTCTTATCAAAAATTAATCGACATAACAAAGTAAGAAAACTTATTTTTACATTTCTCAATAAGCAGATCCCCCGTGCATTCATGAACTCCCATTCTCCATATATAAATGATCCCTATGACAAAACTAGTTTCCTTTGGTCTGGGATTTTAATTGCATGGCCCCTTGCCTCATCAAATAATATGACTCTCTTCTCAGGGCTGAGATATTAAAATGTTCCTACCTGATGGGTGATAACCACTTCGTCCCCTTCGTAGTTACATCCTCCTGCTCCTTTGTGCAAACTGCTTTCAATCTTTTTAAAAACGTTTTGAAATCTATAAAGAAAAAAAAACATATATCTCCCGATTTTATAAACTTAAACAAAATATGTCTTACAATTAGTGATCTTCATCGGGCCTAATTTCTCAAGGCCGACCCGGAATTTTTTTAAAAAAATTTACTTGCCAGGCCCGAATTTATTTAAATATAGTAATTATTTTATAATTACTCAAAATATGATATATATTATATGGCGTCTAATCAAATATTTTTATCATAAAACTGATAAATTAGATGTAATAAAATTTTTTTACAAAGCCCGACCTGGCCCGAATTTTAAAAAAATATTAGGCCCGGCCCAGCCCGATTTCTTTTTAAAAAAATAGGCCTAAACTTGGCCCGAAGCCTGTTTGGGCTGGGCCTACTTTTGCAGATCTCTAATTACAATAATTCGTTATCTAATGTTTAAAAATTCTTGGCCGCATTCACTTAGCTTTCTCCTTATCTTTTTATCATTATAACTTTTGATATTATTGTATACTTTATTTGTAAATTCTTTATACATAGTTTAATATTATCATGTTATGTCATATATTACTTTTTTTATAAATATAAATTCAAAAAAAAAACAATGTTACTGGATTGGGTAATAGCGACAACTTAAGAAATAAGCTCAAAAATGTTCCAATTCCAAATAAAATTATCGGTAACAAAAAGAGCAAGAAATCTATTTGCCTTCCGAACATCAAGTCCAGGTTGAAACTGACGCTGGCATTTTGGAAACGCAAAGAAGCTAGAATTTTCTAATTTAGCAATATTTGCTAGGAAAATACTTTCCACCCTAACCACCAGCACCCCGAGTGAATTATTTTCTCTGTTGCTGGTTTGATTTTAATTTTAAAAAGATCTTCATTATTTCCAGATAACTTGTATAAACTTATATATAGATAAAAACTACATCTATATATCTTCAAAAATTTTTTAATTATTTATGTATCCATTTTACTATTCCCTTTTTATAAATAATGTGTCTTCTCATGTAAAAATATTTTTTTAACATATAAATTTTTATAAAATTTTTTATTTTGTTTGGCCTATAATAAAGATGTACTCGTATTCTGATTTTTATGATTAATTTTGAAGTCAATAATATACAAGCAAATTTACATGTTTATCATAGTTGTTTTATAGGCGCGACGATTTTAAAATTTTTATTGGCGGCTGGTGCACCGCTGATATAAAAATGCAAAAGCCCCCCCCCTTCCTCCGAATAATATATCGGTGCAGAGGTCTATCTATAACTAGGCCTGTAACGTAGGGGAAATTTCCCCGGGAAGCTTCGAAATTTTCTCTATAGTATCCCCAATTTTTATTTTATGTTTTTTTTTGATCAAATAAATCAGGATTTCATATTTAAGAAAAATATCTTTTCCTCTTGGTTCATATATCATAACTATGTTATATTTTTGTATTCATTTTCGATAATATAATAGCTCAACTCTAGTAATATTCATCGGATGAAATTTTTTTTGACTGAAATATATTTAAAATTTTTAATAATAACTGAAATAAGGAGTATGATTAAAGATTGAAGAGATATAGGATAAGTCCAACGTCCTCTTCTAATTTAATTCAACTAATAATTTAATGAAATATATTTATAATTTCGCGCTAAATTCATTTTCTATAATGCAAAGTATTTGGAATATTTCAATCTTTAAAAACAGCCTTTAAAATGCTAACAAGATATTTACTCAGTAAAAATTTGTTAACCAGTGAATATGAGATTAAAAATAACCGAAAAATAAGATTACAAATCTGACCCTTATTAATGGAGTATTTATACAATTTTATAAAATTATTTCTACACAAATTGAGAAAGTCGAAGTGGAAATCAAACTTATTTGACGTTCCTCAAGCATTAATCAGAAAATTTATTACATATTACTCTGCTCATATACTTGACACAAAGTATTGCAGATTTTACAGACAATGAAGCTGTCGATAAAAGATTAGATATTATAAATCGATTTTCTGCATATATAGATTTAGATGTTGCCAGACAAATTGTTCGATTTTAAAGATCTGGAATCGTTTCAAACGAAGATTAAATAATTGAAATCATATTACACATACTAATATTCTATATGTTCTTTACAAAATATGAAAAAAAATTTAATATTGACCTGTAAATTTTTAAAAAAAATTCCCGTTGTTTCCCTATTTTCCCCAAATTCCCTCACATGACAATTATAAACATTTTATTTATCAAATAATTATATATACAATAAATATGTTACTATTTTACAATATACATAATAATTCCTTGATTAATCTTTTGCCAGTTATTCCGATGGTCATCTCATATTAAAGGTGAATTATTGTGTTTAAAATTACTGAGATTATCTTCGATGATGCTTTGCAATAATTTTTGATTTTTGTAGTTGAGTTTTAGATTTTCTAGATATATAAAATAAATTAATTGTTTTACAAGTAAGCAACTTAGACAAGGTTATATGAGCAAAATATTTCTTAAAAATTAAAGAATTTCAAGGTTATTTTCATATTAGAGGCCGCCCTAACTAGCTTTTCCCAGCAGATTTTTAGTCCTTTTACATAGGATTTTCAAAATTTTCCTTTTTTGAATCAAGCTGATATAAAAAATAGAGTTTTACTGCAACGTTAACAGCAATTTAAAAAATCTGCAATTAAAAACGGAGCTGGGATGCCCTTATAGAAAAAATATTAATATAAATTTATAATTAATTCTAAAAAACCAATTTCTTGCTGCAATTGTGTAGAACAATGATCTATATAACAAGATGTAATATTCGAGCCATTCTTCAATATCCATATTATGTAAAATTGGAGCTTTTTAATGCTTTTTTGAAAAGATAGGTAATCTAGACTATCCAATGCGAGAGAACCTTTGGCGTCAAATATTTTGGTGTGCGATTCGCTGAATTCAACTACTTTATGACATCGAGCTCTTAAGGAGTCTGTTTAAATACAAGTTTGGATTAAATGGTGTATATATAAGTAAATTAAATTCAAAATTTCTATTTAGTTATATTAAAGGCCTCTACTTGAAATCATCTAATAATCTTTTCATTTTCTCCTGTCTAGCATAAAATTTCATAAATATTTAACAAATTATTTTATCTTAGATATTTTTTTTATAATATATAAAATAAATCTAGTGTATATGTTAGCGGGAATGTGTTTTTCTGGCAATGTGTTATTTTTTCAATTTTAATCATTTTTTGAGTATGTTTTTTTAAATTTAAAAATATAATTTTACCGGAAATGTATTTCAGCATGTTTAGAATACCCATCTTATGAATTGTACATTCTTTTACCATTAACTTTTAAATAATTTATAATTTATATTAAGTTCAAATGTTATTGGCAAAATTATCTGAAATTCATAGGGTGATATTTTAAACATGATAAAATATTTCATGTAAAATCAGATTTTCTTTAAAAAAACGGGCTCAAAATGTAAAGTTGGAAACATAACACATTGCCGCTAACATATATATAATGAATTCCATGAGTAATCATTAAAAAAAAACACGATTTTTCAACCCAACCTCCTCACATTCTTCTAAAATTTTTAAGAGTTAATATCCCTTTCGCGCCCAGCGAGATCATTTGTCATAAAACTTTTAATCAATTAATTTTTATATTTAAAAAACTAATGGTTGCTACTTAGACACATGAATTTACAAAACAATATTTATTATTTCGTATTTTATCATTAACCTGTAAAAATCATTATTTTATTATATCAAAATACAAGTTCAAAGTTAGGTATTTTACGCGCCTAAATTTTTACACTTTTACATCGATAACCATTCTATATAAATATATATAAATCAAAGGTATATAATGTTTTTATAATATATTATTACTAGTATTTCATATTTAGTAAAAAATTTTTAACAATAACTATTATTTATATGATTTTTTGAAGGGAATCCAAATTGGTAACATTGGGATTTTATAATGTAATTTTTTACAATTAAATATTGGAAATATGATATAGTAAGAATTGAATATAGGTTATTTTCCACTTATAAAGCCACTATAATATTTGCAAAAAGTTAAGAAAGTGGAAATTTTTTTATAACACTTTTTTTAAAATTATTATAAATATTTTTTAGATGACCTCAATATATATTATACCAGAGGGAGATAAATTTACACAATATATTAGCCCAAAACCGCATAAATGGGGAATTAAAATTTTCGCTTTATGTGGATCATTTGGAATGCTATATGATTTAGAAATATATTTAGGAAAATCCACAAATATAAAAAAAACTTTGATGGGAATTAGCGGAGATATTGTTATACAACTATTAGAAACTGTTCCCCCACATAAAATTCATAAAATTTACATGGATAACTTTTTTTCTTCATATAATTTAGCAGCTGCGCTCAAAGATAATGGTTTATCATGTCGGGGACCCTTAAATCTAATCGATTATCGAAATGCCATCTGGTTGATGATAAAATCTTAAAGGAAAAAGAAAGAGGGTCTCATGATTATAAAGTGGATTCTAATAATATTATAATTTGCAAATGGTTTGATAACAAATCGGTTATCACCATATCATTATTTATGGTATACATCCCATATCACGAACGAGAAGATGGTCAAAATCTTTTATCAATGTCAAAATTCCGGCCATAATTCAAGACTATAACGGTGGTATGGGCGTGGTGGATTTCCATATGTTAATTGAACTCTACAGAACCGACATAAAATGGAAGCGTTTTTACATGCATGTTTCCTTTCATTTATTAGATTCCTGTGTAGTGAATTCATGGTTGCTCTATAGACGCCACATGAAACAGAAAAATAGTAAACATATATCCCTTTTAGTATTTAAAGCTCAGATAGCTAAAGGATTGATGATGGTTGGAAAGGAAAATGATGGAAAAGAAGGTAGACCTATGTTGAAGATTGAAGGAAGTTGAATAGTTTTCATCCAATCCCAGATATCAGATAATAAAACAGGGCATTGGCCATCAGCGGTTAGTAGACACAGATGCACAAGTACTGCCAAAATGGTTATTCAAGATTTGAATGTATAAAATGTAAAATATCTTTATGTTTAAATAAAAATCGCAATTGTTTTACTTCTTATCATTCAAAATAAATTGTATATTTTTTTATATATGAATATCCCAATGATGACAATTGGTAACATTTCATATTCTATATATATATACACTTTTTTTAAATAAAAAACGTTGAAAATGTGTTATTTGTGTCTTGTTTAACTCAGTTTTAGAAGAAAAAATTTTTTATGTTCACGGGAAATATTTCGGGCGCGAAAGGGGTATATATTATAACTAAGAAAAAAATAAAATTTTAACCTTCCAAACAGTGGCTGAGATATGGGGCTCCAAATGTCAAAAAGTGGGGCATTTTGGGGAAAATACTCTATCTTTAATTTTAAATATCATTGGATATAATTAAGCTAGAAGTGTCTTTGAAATTTATTTATATAGCCTAATGGTTGACCTTTTAAGTTATATAATGTTAAATTTTTTTATATAAATGTCAAAAAACGGAAATAGAAAATCGGAAATGATCATATTATCAAATCGATATTTATTTTTATGAATGGCTATAGGATTAATTAGTGTGGTTAGGTTGGATCGAATTAGCATAACTTTTGGTGGGGTTTTTAGTTGAAAAATGAACCAGAGCCATCCCTACAAAATGGGTAGATCTGGTAGAACAAATCCATAGATCCGAGCACCAACTTATTATATTTATAATATATTTTTATGCATAGAGTACGAGTATTACAATATTAGCATAGAAATAATTATCTTTAAGATTACTTTTTTTAAAATTGTTCTCTTCTTAAGCTGAAAATATTTGATAAATTTTTACACTAGAAACTCGAGTTTTCATAGATAAAAAAATTAGAGGACGAGTAGTTCAACTCAATATTTAGCATCGAATTCGAAATAATTATCTTTTAGGACCGGGCTAATTATTACAGGAATTTATCAGTTATTAAATATTTATAATTCATATATCATTAAAAAAATGCGGGTAATATATTGTTTAATTAATCAATAATTTTCGGGGTCTGACCTAAAGTCATAAAAATTGGCTTAGGCTTAAGCCGACTAGATGAGTTAGCTTTGGCTAGTGTTGGCTCAGGAGTTGGATTAATTGCCCTAATAATTGGCTGGCGTTTAATTTTGAGCCAAAATGTATTTATTTGTTATTTAACTCTAATTCGCTAATGGATATTACGACAAAAATTAATTGCTTAATATATAGCCAAAAATTGCCTTCCCATCAAAAATTTTATAATATTGGCTATCCAAAAAATTTCAAGTTGTATTATATAACCTCTAGCGAGTAGTTCAAGCTGATCCTTGCTCGCACGTATCGATGGAAAGATCCTTCAGTGGACTAATTAAGTAACCACATTAAGAACTAGATTGGACAAATGTACTTTAGAGATATTTTAATCATCAAACTTAATAAAAATTTGTTAAACAACTTTATCTTTTGAGTTTTGATATTTATTTTTATTTATACAGGATTTTGAATTGAATCCGTTATTATTTGAATAATTATATATTGTCTTAGATTAAATAAAATAATTTTTATGAAATTGTTACAAAGTTAAAGGATACTAATTTTGAGATGACATCTATAAAATATGGAATAGACATTTTTCGAACTCCTTAATTTAAATAATTTGTTTTTAATCAAATGAACTCGGATTTAGGTAATAATTATATTTTTTTCTTAAAACTAATAATATAGAGAACTAAAGAATGTCCATAATAATAAAATTTCAGAAATTATCGTACTTTTTAACACTCTAAAGAAATTTTTTAGGAATAGATCTATAAAAAAAACTTCTTTGACCCTGTAAAACGAAATATAAATTTTAAAAAATATTTTATATATAAAAATATAAAATTTATTATTAGTTATAACATTGTTATCCTATCCATATAAGAACACTAAACCTTTCCAAAATATTATAATTCTTGAGAATTTTGATGGAAGAGTAAATTAAAAATAAATAATTGATCTTATTACTTGACAAACCACGATATTTTTTTTAGCAAAACAATTATATATTTTTATAAAGATAATTTGAGATATTTATAAAATTTAAGCAGATTTATGTACCAAATACTAGTTCGATTTTCTGAAATTTATTTAATTCTTCTAAATTTATAATTAATTGTTTCAATTTAAATTATATATATTAAATTGTTCACCATGACTAGTAGAGTATTATCTTAAAAAATGGAGATTGGTCTTAAATAAGCTATTTAGTAAAACTCACTTTTATATCTCAATGTGTTTCTTTAAAATCAGTATATAACTACTTAAGAATGCATAAAATGAGTCATTTCTGCAATTGACACTCTCTCCTTTAACCTTTATTAATATAAAATGGTTTTTACCAGGGAATTATAATTTTTTTAATATATCTTTAATATTGTATTGAAAAACACTCCCGGAAGTACAGTACATTTCTTAGACCTTCACAAAGGATATGTTTATCTAAATTGTGCAAATTTTAGGAAAGAAGCAAATATATTACAAAAATTACCAATAGCCCCCATTTTTTCAAATCTTTTAAATACAATAAATAATAAAATATTTGAAAGCTTTAGATTTAACTATATTACAATAAATGATTTAGCAAATATTTATTAAGAAATTTCACAATTGGTTGATAATTAAAATTCTATACTCAGCCCAACTTGTAAATTTGCATATTTATTCTCCTATATTCATAAAAAAAATTAAGAAAAATAATACCGATTTGATTTTATGACCCTTTCCGGTTTTTGACATTTAAATTTTTTATATTTATCATTATATAACTTTAAAGGCCTATTGTTAGGCTATATAATGAAATTTAAATAACACTTCTAGCTCAATTATATCTAAAGATATTTAAAATTAAAGGGAAAGCATTTTACCCAAAATGCCCCATCTTTTTGATATTTAGAGCCCCATATCTCAGCCGTTGATTGGAGTTGGAAGCTAAAATTTTATTTTTTTCTTAGTTATGACATATGCAACAACATCTAGCAAAAAATTTAGAAAAATATGAGGGGGTCGAGTTGATACTCATGAATTGTCATGGAATTCACCATTATATATATATATATATATGAGAAAAACAATTCGTTAATATGGGAGCAAAAATTACAGGAGTAAAAACATAGAGAACGACACAAATTTATGGGCCATAAGAAACATTAATGAATGAATGATTTCAACATAAAAAACTTTATAAACACAATTAGTACTATATTTTAATATTTAAAACTAACATGTGTAAAATGCACAATTTGGGACTAATTCCCAAAAATAATATAAAAAAACCTTTAACATCATCAGATGCAGTATGGCGTAACAACTTCTTTCCATTTTTAAACAAATTTATAAGATCGGATAAAGCGGCTTCAAGATATAAAGTCACGGCATGTTTAGTTATATTTGATTCAGAATTAATTTCGGTAATTTTCCCAAATTTTTTCTTAAATGGTCCATTAATGATTGTTATGGTATCGGGTAGATACAGGGAAACAAAATTTTCGATAACATTATTATGGTTCGTGTTAGATTCATTTTTGCGTGGGGTGTCATCGGATTTAATTATCTTGAAGGAATCAGCGGAAGAATTTTTCGTTTGAATATGATCGAGCTGTTTTGATAGGTTTTTGTCAATTTCAAGTGATTCCGCCTTTATTAATTAATAGGAAGATAAAAAACTTTGTTAGATTATATTTTATGTAGTAAAGGTCATTTGTAACCGATCAAAATTAATCGGTCCAATTGAGTTTCTGAATTTGATCTTCACCTGGCTTATAGCTTTTTTAAAATAGGTCTGATCAAATTTACAAGGGGCAGACCTTTGCTATTTTAGCGTTTTTACAATTTGATCAATTTAATAGGAAAAACTGCAAAAAACATACTATTAAATTAATTTGAAGGTTTTTGTGTAAGAGGATGAGAGAAACCTCATATGGATAAGGTATTGACTTTTTAACATTCTTTCATTGATTGTGATTATTATATAGAAAGTATGTTGAAAAATTAAATAATGATATATGCTGTAATTTGATATATGCTGTAATTTGATATTTTTATCCAATAAAGAGCCGATCAATGCAATTAATATGACAAAAATGAGGGAAGTTTGAAAAGAAATAATGAAATTATATAATAACCTTAGATGTAGTGCTAATTTTTAAATCTACTATCAAAAGATTTGGAAAATAACAGTATCCTAGAACAAATAATTGAGGTGGTAAAGTATTTTAAAAATAATCAGTTTGCTAATTTCAATGTAACAAGAGGGAGGGATATCTTTTGTTATTTCACAAGATATTCGTTGGAACTCAGTTGTAGATAGTTTCTAAATAACTGAATGGGCAAAATTATTTAAAATAAAATAAAATTGACATTGCAATTAGAAAAAAGATTGAAAATATTACACTCAAAGAGCTGCTAAAGATATGATTGAAATCCTAAAACCAATTGCGAAATGTTTAAAATTTTAGAAAGAAATAAATCAAATATTCGGACACAGTATATTGTAGGAAGAATTCGCAAAAGTGTTTTTTTTACCACCTTACATGCTAATAAAAAAACAAGTAGTGATATCCTTTGCTAAAAGATACAATCAAGCTTTAACTCCTGCACACTTCTTTAAACCCGAAATATCATTCAAATTTAACAATCAATGAAATGGAAATAGAATGTGTGAGGTTTCTGATCCAAACACTGGCATTTTATTTATCTTGGTTCAAGATCAGAGCCATTTACAAAAAATAGATTTTCGGAATATATAATAAAGCTAACCCAATTGAATGAGTGGCCCAAGGAAATTTGATAAAGGATGTATAAATAAAACAACTATTTACTGCATCTTTATCATCCACTTTAGTCGAGAGTATTCTCATCGCTTGGAGTTGTTCACTTGAAGCTTAGGGAATTGATTAGGAACAGAAATGGCAGGAAAATTATTTTTTTTTATTTGCAATTATGTTCTAATACCAATGTCGACGATATAAATATTATCTGTGATTTTTAATATATGTTATTTCTTAGTCTACAAACTAATTATTATTTTTTTTATAAAGAAATATAAATTTTTTAAAAATATATGTGGATTTTTTATATTAGTTTCGTTTTATATTTAAAATATTTAATTTTTCATTATTGCGATTAGGATTAGCAGTTATTTTTCTACTATGTCGAAAATTGAAATAGAAAATAAACTTTTTTGTCTAACAAGTGGTGATTACCGGTGAAATTTGGTTAATCTAGACTTTGCTTATCTAAGTCCTTATCTTTCAGTATTTAAATTTTGATTTTTTATATATTTAAATTGGGAATCGTGATTTAAATCAAATTGATTTCAACAGACCAACCCTAATAAAAAGCTCGCATTTCATCCATTAGAATTTAAGCTCTGCTCTTATATTCTTATTTTTATTCATATTATATATCATTATCTGACTAAAGTTTGAACTCAGGATCTGATTTAAGCGCGATTATTAGTAAGTATAACTTAATTCTTAACAAATATAATAAAAATAAAAATTATATTTAAAAAAAATATACTTGTATTATTTGATCTAGTGAAAGATAAACAGATTCTGAAATGGACTGACAATTAATGTTGGCACATAATATTGGGCAAATGCTCAAAAAAGTCTAAAATATTTTTAAAAAATATATTAAAATCATTATAATTAATTATTATCCTTAATCTTTAAGTAAATTTAGCAAGAAATGTTAGATAATTCGGTAACTCACTGAATCACTGGGAAATTTTTAACATTATTTTTATTTATTTGTTTTAAATTAAAAAAAATTTTTTTTTAATGTTTGGTCTGGTAGAATGAAGTCATATTTTAATTTTAACAATTTATATTTAGCTATAAATTGTCTAATTTTGTATTTTAATAATTCGAGCGATACAATTTTATATAAAATAATAATAACTGAAAACAATATTATATATAAGAGTATCAATTAAATTATATTTAATTTTATGGGTCATTCAATTTCAACGATTTAAAACCCAACGATGCCCAAATTAAACAAGTGTTTACTTATAAATCTAAAAATAACTATTTCTTTTTTGATACTAACCTTTTTCCACAAAATTTTTTTTATTCTAATAAGTTGATTAATAATTTAATATTTGATTTAATAGTCCTAACTATTTTATTGTTTGTAATTTATGTGATACAATTTTAATAAAATTATAATAACTGAAAACAATATTATATAGATGAGTATCAATTAAATTATATTTAATTTTATGGGTCATTCAATTTCGTTTCAAACCCAACAATGCCCTAAATTAAACAAGTGCTTACTTTTAATTTATAAATCTAAAAATAACTATTTCCTCTCTGAAATATCAACCTTACTCACAAAAATTTTTTTATTAATAATTTAGTATTTGATTTAATAGTCCTAACTTAATAGCTTCATAGAACACGTCTTGTTTTTATTGTGAAATTAAAGAATTATGAAAATTTTCACAAGTTATTTTAAATTTTTAAATATACTCCGTTTTATTGTAAAATTAATGAATTATGATAAAAATTTCCACCAAAATGCAGATGATCATTTATTTATCATTTTATAAAAAAAATAATATTAAAAAAAAATAATATCAAAAATTTCTCCGTGATTTAGTGAGTAACCGATAATTCTTATCCAGGTCCGTGCTTAGGCTTTTAAGTAATGGCGACCCAGAACAAAAATATTTTATTAAAATTTAAAGCCTCGTTAACAATATATTATGACTTTTTTAAAGGTTATTTAAATAATATTAGTAAAATCAACAAAAATAGAAATGCACCAAATCAATATCTCAATTTTAGCCTAGCAAAATTAATACACTGATACCAAAAAATTATATGTAGTATTTATTGAAAAAGGCAAATGTAAATAATTATTAAAAGGTTAAAAAATAAGGAGAGGGGGAATAACAGCATCTCCTTTCTTTCTATCGTTTTAAAAGGTTGTAATAATTATTTTTTATAAATTCATATATAGAATCTAAAAAAATTAAAATTTGGGTTAATTATCATTTTTGAATATCGGTCACTAGTATTGGGTATTAAAAATTTCGGCCGAAACCAATACAGACCGATACCGTGGACATCTACAACTCCGAACATTTATATATATTTTAAAATTATCATTTTTTAAGTTTAAAAGTATTTACTTGAATAGCTTGCAAAGGGCATTCTGAATGGCAACCATTATATAAACGAGTCATGTAAGAATAATTGATAATAAGATTGACCATATTATTTATGATTAGAGGAGATGCCTTAAAATAAACATAATTGCTATTTATAAATAGTCTAGACAGATTTTCGCATATCAATCTTGAATCGGTATTTGATAAAATATAATTTACTTAAGTATAAAATATTACATCATTTTATTTAATATAATTTGCCAAAATTTAGAAAAAGTTTATACTTTTTTAAGTAAATTGATTGAAGAAGGAAGACAAACTAATAAGTTATCGAAATATCTCGAAAATAAAAAAAAACATTTTTTTTATTGATGAATAAACTACATAATAATAATAATTTTTCTAACACGATCCGTTAATTAATAACCCAATAATAATAATTATATTAAATAAAGCTAACAGATATCTAACTTTAAGAAAATTACTTTATTAATATTGGTCTCCATACGTTTTATAAATTGTAAAGTTGGCGACCATAAAAATGGAATGCTATAGGGTGCATCAAACAGATTATTTATATTCTCTTCCATATTTTTTACGAATTTTGGAGAAATCTTATGATTAAATAAAGATTGTTACGAAATGTAAAATTTATATATAATAATTGAGGTCTCTTTACCTTTTTATGCCACCAAGGTTGCCACATTGGTATTAAGGAAGTTAACCATGGTTCATTATTGATCAGGATCTTTTCAAAGTGTTGCTTTTCTTTCGTTGTTAAACAATTCCAAATTTGATCATAATTATCTTTTTAATAATAATATAATATTACATTGAATTAAAATGTCTGTGTAAGTTGCATCAATTTAAAGTATTGATATCAGAAGGGAGGGGCAAGGAGATGTTTAGCACCCTTAAAATATTTTATTTTTGATAAAAAGGTTGCCAAAACATTTAGGACTTATGCTTATGATAACAAATAAAATGCCAATTTTATTTTTTAAATCATTTTGCTCCAAAATAACAAAAATTACCCCTAAAAGCTAGCAACACCAGATTTAAACTAGTAGTATTATCAACGTGGTTAAAGATTGTGTAATGAATGGTATCGATGATACTTTTGAAATTTCAATGTATTGTTGTCCTACCTCGATAAATTTTGTTATTGACAAATTTTTTATTTTAAAATGATAGTTATCATCTATTAATATGAATAAATAAAAAAATGTATAGTGTTTATTTGATTAAAATTAAATTGATTATTCTAAATTATTTTAAATTTTATCTTATATTTTAGTTTATTCTCTATTTTAATCCAAATTTATTATAAATATTTATTAGATTTAAATTAAATTAGTTCTAAGTTATTTTACATTTTTTCTTAAATAAATATTAAATTAAAAATTATTTGATAAAAATAATCTATAAAAAAACCCTGATAATTTTTTTTAGTATAAAGTGTAAAGATTTAACCATTTTTAATAATTTCCCTAATATTAAACAATTATTTATTAAATACATCATTCCTTGCACACCTGTTGAATGCTTATTCAATACTCCTAAAAATGTTTTTACTGATAAAATTTTGAAAATATTTTTTTTATTAATATCAAATAATAATATTTAGTATTGATGTTTTTAGATATATTTGTTAGTTATTAATAAATTATTTCCCAAAATGTATTGAAAAAGAATAACTTATTTTATATATTGTATCAAATATATTTGATAAAAATCTATTATCAATATTATTGGACCAGTTTAGAATCTGTATAGGTATCAGTATGATTCATTTTAAAAGTATCATTAATAAGCCTATATATTTTCTAAAACTCAATGTTGGTTGTTTGCAGGGCAAATAGAAGTTTAAGGATCAGATTGTAAAATTCTACTTCAAAATAGCAAAAGTGGTATTAGATGTTTTGAGAAAAGGGGTAATTAAGGAAGGAATGGGGTGACTATTTTTATTAATTATTTTATCGGCTTGTCAAAAACGAATATGAATCAAATAATGAAATTATTCATACATATTCAATTTGTTTAAGAATTAATGTAATTATATGGATCATAGATATAAAGAGTAAACATTAATATTCATATTAATCTTTAAATAGGCCTTATCTAATTTAATTTTGTTATCTGTGCCAAATTTGGGTAGAATTAAGCTAAACTAAAAATTACATTAAATTTAAAGCTATTTTGTAAAATTTTTTACTTAGTTTGATGTAAGTCTTAAATTAAAAGATTTAAATATGGGCAAATGTAACTAGTCACAGTTATTTTTTTTATAAAAACTAATTAATTAGTCTAACAACACCAGTAAATATATATGAGATGGCTAGGATTAATGTTATATTTAATAAAAATTGTTTTAAAAAATTCAAATTAGAAGGTTTAATTTTTTGAACAGGCCAATTTTTACCAAAAAATTGTTTTAAAAAGATGAGGAAGTGGAAATAAAAAAAAAGTTATTTTTTTTATACATTACAAATAAAATGAGTTGAGCCTAGTGCTGTTAATTGGTTGGTTGTATAAAACCAGACCCGAGGTTTGGGTCTAAAAAATCGACCAAACCAGCTCTGAGCACAGACCTGGGGTCCAGATTCGGGATCGTGTCATGTAACGATTTAATAAACAAGTTAATAATTAAATATTTTTTTATTGCAATAATAATAATTAAATATTTTTTTATTGCAATAATAATAATTAAATATTTTTTTATTGCAATAATAATAATGATTGATAGAGGGCAGGGCGGGTCTAGGTCTTGGGGGGTCAGGAATAATTTATCAAAACAAAATATCGATATATGGGTAAAATATAATCTAAACTAAATATCTTTAGATTGAAAGTATTCATTTTTTATCTTGATGGGTATGACTTGGTTTTGGAGGTGGATGGGGTAGGGGGTGAAAGTGGGGGGAGGGGGTGAAAGTGGGGGGGGGGGGTGAAAAATAATATTTTTTGATATGGAAATAAAAATATTTTTTTGTAATAATAATAATAATAATGATCACTCATACAGGGCGGGTATAGGTCTTGGGGGGGGGGGGGTCAGGTATATTTTTATTAACACAAAATATCGATATGGGTGTTGTTTAATTGGTTGGTTGTGTAAATCCCAAACCCGAGGTGGGTCTAATAAAATCACTGCGATCTACATTAGCAATATTTATATAAGAAATAAGCCAGCATTAACTCGAACCCCATAAATAATGTTGTTTCAAATATTTTAATTAAAAATAATTTATCAATAATATCGAACTTAAATAGGAAAATCCTGCAAGCAACTCAGCTTATGACTAAAAAATTTTTAATCGGGGACACTTAGGGCTTGGAAATAATTAAAATGAATTATTATGTAAGTTTGCTTATAGATTATTTCTATACCATCCTGATCATAGTTCAGAATTAGATACGAACTTTCTGACCGGATTTATTTAATTTCATAAACTATGTAGCTAATTTTTTTAATAAAATCCCCTATTTTCTTATGTGATAAAAAAAGTAAATTATATATTTCTACATGATTTTAAAATCTAAAATAAAGATGTGATTGATATTAACGAGTGGCTGCGTCTCTAGTTTCTATACATTCTCGATGGAAACAGTTATAATTATAAATTTAATGAAAATTAATTTCCATTTTTTTAGATTTCGGAAGAAAAGGAAGTTTTTCAAAAAAATTTCTAAAACACATTTGTTTTCAATTATAATTTTATTCGTATTCGTAAATATTATCATCATCGTCATAGCTTTTCTTATTATGTATAATATAATTATAATAAGCATATTAAAACTGAAACAGAAAATAAAATATAAAAATAAAATCACATAATTAGTAATCACTATTTTCAAACTTCAAAGATATGTATTATATAGATCGAATTTCCTTTTTGATATATCATATCGTATGTGAGTTAAAGAGGCTGTGAAATATATTAAATCAAAATGAATCTTGTTTTGTTATTTGGTTTGAAAAACCATTTGAAAAATAATTATTTAAGTTAAATTACAGGAAGTTTTTAAAAAATAACAAAAATTTTCTCAACAATTTCTTTTAAGTTTTTAATAGTCATTTATTTTTATAAATAAAATCGAAATCTATATTTTTTTAATATTAATTAATTAATCATTCTGCTATATTGTTATTTTTTTGCACATTCTGTTTATAAAAGTGTGCGATAATCTCTTCAGAATCTGTTTTTAGTGAATTTGGTGATATTAACTTGACAGTTAACATCGCCGTAAACGTAAACTGATTTCTAATAAATAAGTAAATTTTGGTATTTCTAATAAGAAATCTTCGATTTATTAATGTTAAATATTGTTTAAAATATTTATTCAAATTTCATAATATATTTGTTTATTATTTATTATATATAGATTAATGTTACTTATTTATATAAAAGTTATTTAACAATAAAAATATATTATATACTTTTAGAATTTCAATAGAATTGAATATAAACTATAACTGATCATTATAATATATTTAAATAAATGACATAAAAATTAGATATGATATCGGATCGGTAATCGGTCGATATCAATTTAATATCGGGAATATCGGATCGGATAGGCCTCCAAAAAGTGATATCGGTATACATCTACTTAAAACCCAAATTTATTAATTATACCTTTAAAACCCGTGGTGATCCTGGATAGTTGACATCCCTTTAAAAATTATGACATATATAATATTGGGAATATAACTTTAATATAATAAAGAAAAACTTTTTATTGGCCATTATTTTATCACAAATTATAAATTTACATTTCTTTTTATTATTTATACATGCATGAATGACGTTGAATTTTTATATTGGTCTTCCACATTTAATTACAATATCAATATGTGTCAAAATAAAATTTTACTTTTTTATTTTTTTTCCGTCATGTGAATATTTATTACATATATTTTTATTTTACCATAAAATATTTTTATCAAAAGAAAGAAAATGGTAAGAAAATGAGAATAAAAAAAAAGCTTTATTAATTTAGAATGAATAAGATTTAATTTAAGATTAGAAAATGAAATTTTTTTTTTACTTTTCATTTATCCGAGCCCCAGGTGTAGGTCTGAACCCCGGGTTGGCCTGAGCACAAAATTTGGTCATAAATTTTATGACTAAGCAAATTAACAACACTTGAGCCATCCTTAAATTTTATTTTTCTCTTATCTGGGAAACAAAGCTATTTGGTATGCTTATCAAAAAAATAGGGTCTTAGCATAATTCGTGAGATCCAAATGGGGTGGGCCTAAAGCCAACATACTAAGAAGGTTAAATATTTACCTCATTCTTTCCTTAATCACTGAAAAATGAGTCTTAAAATATGATTCTCAGGCATGAAAAAAGGAATTATAGATGGGCAAATGTTTTACCAAAACAAAAAAAACTAAATTAGTTAGATTATTTAACAACTATGAAAATACTATAATCATTTATTCAATATAATAAAAATATAAGCTTAAAAAGTAATTATTATATCTATAAATACCTAAATTAATATTCTTCATTCTTTCTTCTAAATCAGGATCTTCAGGTGATACATTATCAACTTGTTCTTCAAGATCCCTATAATTTCCTATAAATGTTTTTTTTATTATTTAGTTACAGATTATTAACCTTCATCCCCTATTTCTGCAAACATTTCTTTAGAAAACAATTTATAATAATCCCATAAAACTTTTTCTTCTATTTCACTACAATAAATTTATTATACAAATATGTATAAAGTGACCTTTTATCATCAATAGAACACTCATCTAATACACATTTTTTGTAAAAACTCTCAGTACAATTTTGGTGACTAGAATGTTGATAGCATTTTATACTACAATAATCTATTTTGCATTTGGGGCAAACATATTTAGATTTCTCTCTACAACTATATATAAGATTATACCAAATTATTTTAAATATATCTTACATGAAACAATATTGGAGAGGATTTCTAAAATATTCGTCCATAAATTATTTAAAAATATACCGTGCTAATAAGAGTTCAAGCAATTTTTGGTAGGGAAGTATTAATTCCTGGTCGATATGATAATAAAGCGTATATATTGGAAAATTAATATCACATAAAAGATTTAAAAAATTTAATAATTATTATTTTGCATCTTACTGACATGGGTTTGAGTCAATGATGGTTTGAGTACCAACTACCAATTCTATTTTTTGCTAAAAGGAATTTAATGTGATTTGCTGGATTCCCTGTGATATATTAGGGTATACGGGCTTACTAGATTATGAGAAGATACAAGCCTCCTTGAAGTTTGTTTAAACATGATTTTCTTTGGGTAATTTTAGAAGATATTTGTTAATTTCGGAAATAAGAATTCTTCTTGGAAATAAGAATTCTTCTTGAAAAGTGAGAACCCATATCCCCAAGTTGAAGGATCTAACAATAGAGACGCTATTGTTGCTAAATAGATAAGATTGATTTCTAAAATATCAAAGACTTGGAACGTTTAATATAGAATGAAAATCAAGCAAAAACATTATTTGAAAATTATTGGCCATTTTTGAAACTTAGTCAGAATGAAAGTATATTTAATTTTTATGAAACTTTGATTGCTTAGGAAATGCACCTACCTGAGCAGATATTATATAAGAGATACATTACCACTCTACCCCCCCCCCCCCCCGTCTCACCACCAATTTATTTAACTCCCTACTTTTTATAATCCCTGAAAGATATTTGTAAGACATGTATTTTTATTTATACACTCTCATGAGCCAATTATGATATTACCTACCCCATACTACCAGCGTCTGCATAAGAGGGATGGGGTATGGGGGGGGGGGGGGGTAGGAGCATTTTGCCTTCAATATTTTGTAAGAAGGCAGAGAAAAGATATAGGGATGTAGACTAGAGTGATAAGGCAAATTTATTGGGTTGTTGTCAATTAAATTTTAGAATTGGTATAAAATTTATTTGATCCTTTTATTATAGATCTATTATTAATTAGTTATCGAATTACCCGTTTCAAAAATGAGAGATGTTTGACACATTTCAGAGATGTGGCAAGTGACACTTTTGCAAGTTTTTTTATTTTTTGGTATACAGTCATAATCGGATAATAGAGAAGCGTTGGGGCCGAAAAATTTATTCTTTCGCACTTATCCAATTTTTCGCATTTCTTGCTATTTGTGTCTAAGCTATGCAAAAAGGCCATATGAAGAATTTAAAAATTAAATAATGCTATAGTAATTGAACAACATAGTAAACATATCGTCGTTCGCTTGGAAGCAAAGCATAATCTCTCTAAACGCAGGGTACCTTAATAATAATATGTTTAGTCGGGTAAGGATAAACTAGTGGAGGATCCTATATTAGTAAGGAATTCTGAGAATAATATTTTAAATTAAAGAAATTCCTAAGAAGTAACTTTAACATGTCAGCTAAAATAATTCTTTAAATTATGTGAGTAAGCCCTGTAAAATAAATTAAAATCAATCAGTGATAAATAAATCCAACGAGTGAATAAAAGATAATCCAATACTTTGATTTACTCATTCCAAAATTAAAATATTTTTCTGAGGATTATGCTCTATATTGTATACACACATGACATTTTATTTTTCTCTTATTGGTTTGAATATATGATCAGATAAATAATTTTTTATAAAATTAATATTTGAAAATATTTGTAAATAATCATTAGACCTCATCATACCTAAATAATTGCTTTTCCACAATGGCTTCTAGCCTTCTTGGTCCTTCGAGTTTGCATATGCATACTGGTTAAGATTTTATATCCATTCATTTCATTGCTTTGCTTTGTTAGATAAATAACCAGGATCAGGTATCTCTTTATAACATTATTCACTAAACTATCTGCATTATATCCTTTTAGAAAATAAGATAAATTAAATTATTTGCAAAAAATGAGCAAAACTTTTTAAGTTATGATCTGTACTCCCTCTTTCATTGCAGATTGTGTGAAATTAATCTTTTATTTTTTCCTAAATCTCTGCAGCCAACTGGAATTTTAAAAATTGCAGATTAATTTAGAGATACCTTCATAATATGTTTTTTTGTAAATTCTAGTCTCATCTAAGTCATCATTTTTTGAATAAATATTGTTTCTGGACAATTTTCTCATATATTCTTAAATTTAAAAAGATAAATATTTCTCAGCAAGCTCATATTCATGCCAAACAATACTAATAACGCATTAATCGTAAATGAGAGGAATTAATTTAATCATATTCTAAAAAATAATGCTTTTTCACGCACCGTTTTTTTATATTTTATAGTAGAGTATTGATAATTTAAATTATTTTTTTTAAATAAATGAAAGGATACAATTAAAAATTTGTAATCAAAACGTAGATTTTTTTAGGAGGAGGGGGGAGGGTAGAGGTTTTTAAAGTTTGCTTCCAGTTAATATTTTGCCATATAGATGCTGTTTACACTCTTGCAAATAAAGGAATCAATATTAAAATTAGCATAAAAGATTGTCATAACAAAATTAGATTAACAAATAAATTGAAATTATAAATCCAAATCATATCTTCCCACTCCTACCCTCTAAATTTTTATGTAATTTTGCGGACATAGCTGATCCCTTATACAAAGTAGTTAATGAAGATAAATGGTTGTGGGATAGTACACATCAAGAAAGTTTCGGTGACCTAAAAAAACTGATAATTACTCCGCCTACGTTAAATTTTTATAACTCGGATCTACCAGTCGGCATTGCAACTGATGCGTCAAAGAAAGGTCTAGGCACAGTCTTTTTTCATATTGAGGGTGATGATAAAGAAAAACCCATTGCTTTCGCGTCAAGAGCATTATTAAAATCAGAGTTAAATTATACAAAGCTTTATCTGTTATATACGCGGTAAAAAAATTTCAAGAATATTTAATTGGTACGAAATTTACAATAATCACAGATCACAAGCCACTCGTTTATATATTTACGATGGAACTCAGGGACAGTTCTTCCATATCAATGCGACTCCAAAAGTGGAGTTTGGCTATGGGTGCTTATGACTTTACGATAATTCATAGACCCGGGGAACGAAATATAGTACCGGATTGTTTGTCAAGATTACCCCAAATCAACACAGAAGAGATGGTACAAAAGATAGATGGTGAAATAATTGATGACAAATTTTGGGACTTACCAATAAATTTTAAAAGAATAGTTGAAGAAACTAATATTGATATAGAATTAATGGAAGTAAATAACAATATAAAGAATCATGTACAGATAAAGAATAAAACATATAAAAATATGGAAATCGAACTGAGCTTAATTAAAGATTGTCTTTTTAAAGAAAATAGGATCATAATACCGAAAAATATGAGAAAGTATTGCAAGAATTACATAAAGGGCAAAGGGTGCTATGAAAATGAAATCTTGCGAGAGATTATTTGTGGTGGTCTGGTTTATATGCACAAATAGATCGGGAGGTTAAAAATTGTGATGCATGTAATAAATATGCAGACTATCCTCATAATATACAAAACCCTTGGGAAACAACAACAAAAGTATTCGAACGCGTGCACATCGACTTTGCGCAATTTGAAGATAGCAATTTTATGGTATGTGTTGACGCATTTAGCAAATTCCCTATTATTAGAAGAATGAGAAACATAACCTCTGAGTCAACAATTAAAGAATTGATGAATAATCAGCTTATTTGGTATATCTGAAAAAATCAGTGATAATGGAACTAACTTTACTAGTAACTTATTTAAGAAATTTTGCGAAGATTATGGAATTGAACACATACTCACCGCGCCTCACCACCAACAGTCCAATGGTCTGTGTGAGCGAATGATAAGGTCAATGAAAATAAGCATGAAAAGTAATATAGAAAGTAATAATAAAATAGATTTAGATATAGCTTTAGAAAAGTTCTTATTTAATTATCGTAACACACCAAACGCAACAACCAACAAGATACCAAATGAAGTGATGTTTAATAGAACTATAAGAACCAGATGGGATTTAATTAAACAACAAGAAGATAAAGTGAATGAATTTAATCGTAATATATCGTCAAATAGAAATATCGTGATGGGTGACAAAGTTTGGTATAAAACTTTCAAGAAAAGCAGACAAAGGTACGGTAACATGTAAAGATGGGAATTTATAATATGAAATAGATATTGGAAATAAAATTATAAAAAGACATTTGGACCAGATTAAAAAAAGGTCAACGAACATTATACCCCTTAATAATAGTAAAACAGATTTAAAAACAAATGTTAATAATACAATACCTTATACTAATTTTAGAAGGGGAAGAAGTGATGATGAACTAGTACGGAATCAAAGTATACAAGTACAAGATCAGAGTCTTAACAGTCAAGGACCATTCAGAAATATAATATTGCCTAAAAAATTCGAAAATTTCATTATGAATATAAAAAAAGGGTAAATATAAAATATTTTTCTTTTAAATAAACTTTCAATAGCTTATACTATATAAACAAGATTTTTTTTTGTAGATCAAAACTAATGAAATATACTAGTGATGACTAACGATAACTATCAAGATCGACAAAGGATAAACGGACAATAAATGATGAAGAAACCGGTAAGCAAGACAAACGATAAGATGTTAGACAGAGGGCGAAAACTTAAAAAAAAGAGTGAAATGTTAAGTAGTTGTAATTTATAATTCTCCTTTAAACTACTTGTTTTGTTTTGATAATAACATTAAAAATTTAAATTGTTTTATTTTTTACTTGTTTTGTTTTGGTAATGACATTCAAAATTTAAATTGTGAATGACATTAATTATATTAGTTATAAATTTTATTATAAATAGATGAAATTCGATTTTATATTTTTTTAGTATAAATTAAATCAAAAATAAAACACAAAAAAAATAATTCTCGCTATTTCGCAATTTTCAGAAGCACCAATTCTCTCAGAAGTCAACAGCATTCTATTAGGTTTTCTTTTATTTTGGTGTGTGGGATCATCTAATAAAATAATGATTTAT